ACTGTTTTAGACTAGTCTTGGAGTGTTAAAGGAACTGAATTCACAAAAATAAGAGTAAAAGCCGGGGAAAGGGTGGAGAGACAGGGAGGAAAACTCCTAATGGCTAAAGAGAAGACACAGAAGGCAAACAACAATGAAAAGTTGGTTGTTTCCAAGAAATAAAAAACCAACTACAAGATATTGAAGCAATGGGCCAAGCAAAGCAAAGCTGTTTTTTCCTTGTTCTGTGGACTGCTCAGCTGCCAGACGTTTCCATTTTCCGGTCTGGGTCCGTATCGCTGTATAAGTTTTATATCAGGGGCCCCAGACCAAGCAGGTTTGGCATCGGGGGTGGGGCAGCACCTCTCACAAAGCCCCTAAGTTCACGAATACGACCAGGATTCTCCCCCTCTGTGGTCTGAGGCAACAGGGGGACGTGGCCTCCACAGATCAAGACTTGAGGTGGTGAGGGAGCCAGAAGAGAGCTAGAAGGACATTCCAGGTCCACCAGCTTCCCACAAACCCACCATCACCCTTGCATGTAATCTACACAAGAGACTGTGGGCAGCGAATGCAGATGGAAGGAATCTGTGAGCAACCTTGCTGCCTGATTTCTCCATTTTATGGCTGATCCGGAGACTGAGGTCCAGAGAGAGGAAATGTCTTTGCCAAAGCGAACCGCTGATGACTGAAATATAAGCCCTTCCACTAATTAAACATTATTTCACCTTTAATTGCTATATTGTAGCCATTTTTTAAAAGTTGATTCTTTAAAAACAAGCAAAAACACAAAAAAGGGTTCCAGCAAAATAAGTATCTCTTGAACTAAAACAGTGACATCAGCTGTGGAACGCTCACTTCCCTGTGCCGGCTGCTGGGCAGGAAGAGCTGTGCAGACCCCCTCACCCACCAGTTCTCCAGTGCAGACGTGGGAGATGCCAGCGTCCTTGGTGGGAGCGTGGTCGCTTGCTCTAACGTCTAACTCAGAGGTTCGATGTGTATCTGCAACATCCTAACTTTTTCCTTTAGAAGCTATTTGTAAGTATCAACCATAATTTATTTTATCCAAAGTCCCTATGAATTTACTTAGGGTTTCAGCCTACTAATAGCTTACATTTGAACCAACTGAAGACACCATGTGATTCTTTTCCTCTGCAGGTCCTACAGGTGGCTACCACCTTCTCCCTGACCCCCCACCACCCCCCACCACCTCCAGGGACCACAGCAGAAGAGTCTGCTTCAACTGCAGCTAAAGATTCAAGCAGCACAGGACCCATCTCGAAGCCTCAAGTGGCCAGAGCTGTAGGTACCAAATTTTTACCACAGACCCTGTTTTGAAAGATGTGGTCTAGCAAATTTATCAATATTTGTTTCTCATTTAAAATAATCAGATTCATACCTTACTGCCCATTAAAGCTTCCAAACAACAGAGGATAGATAAGGAGTCTTGCCAAGCTGACTTGACATTTCAGACCAGAAACAAAATGCATTTTAATCAGCAAGAGCTGCCTTACCCTGCGTGAATGTTTGATCCCTGCTCCCCCATCTTGCCTCGCTTATACACACGACACCTATTATCTCCTTCTCAGAGTCACAGGATCTGAAGACCCCATGGAAAATGCCAGTACATAGAACTTAAGGCAGCAAAGCTACCACACTGCCCCCAATTAAAAGCAGCCTGGAATCTGGCATGGCCACCAGAGACATGCTGTATTGCCCTCCTAACAGTCAATTTATCTATGATCTGAAATTACATCAAATTTCCCAAGGACAGGGGAAAACACTCCCCATGAGCAGCAAGTTAATTTATTTGCAGGGGGAAATGAATGGCTCCCTTTGCTTTCCTGACTCTCCCATAGGCACCAGGAAACAACACAAAGTGACCCCGAAGAGAGACCCCAGAGAGAGCCTTCAGTTATGTAAGACGGGCTAAAATCAGCCATGGTGACAGAGGACAGGAATTCTGCAACCCACAGAAATGTGTCTGAAGATTTTAAGCTGAAGTGCACCATCTATTTAAATGCACTCCCTTTTGAGGGGCCCCTGGGTGGCTCAGTTGGTTGAACGTCTGACCTCAGCTCGGGTCACGATCTCGTGGTTGGTGAGTTCCAGCCCCTCACCAGGCTCTGTGCTGACAGCTCAGAGCCTGGAGCCTGCTTCGGATTCTGTGTCTCCCTCTCTCTCTGCCCCTCTCCCACTCATGCTCTGTCTCTCAAAAATAAATAAAAATATTAAAAATTAAAAACAAAATTATCAAGCTTCTTTATGCAATCACAGGTGAGAAAGTTACGATTGAAAAGGCCCCAGATTAAGGGATTTTGTTGTGTTAGGACAAGGAGCCCCATTTCCCCTTGTTCTGACCCTTGTAATTTATTTCATGAAAGCCAGAACACAGAGGGGAAAGAATTATATTTAAAACAAACAAACAAAAACAAAAAAACAGAGCCTTAGGAACCCAATGTTGTCTTAGGTTTGGAAGGAGCAACATCTGAGACCACCCCCAGAAAAAAGATTATTTGGAAGCCCCAATAAGAAAAATTCATTTTCCAATCAGAGCATGTTAACGCTTAACAACTCCCAACCCACCAGAAAGCACTCAAAGTAATGAGAACCGAGAACCATAAAAGGGAGGAGGGAAAAAAGGAGTCAGTTGGGATAATGATTTTCTTCTGCTGTCGCACCAACCCTGTTCTGTAAAAGCCAAACTGAGACTGGTGTCTCCCAAGGGTGCTCCCTCCCTCCATCTCTGCCATCCCTTGAGCTGGGGATCCCTCATTTCACTTACCCCAGCTTTTTTCAAGCAGTACAAGTGAGCCAAGGGGCACCAGACCCTCACACACCATAAACGTTTAAATACCCCACAGGGAGTAAGACATTCAAAACCCTCATGTGGTAAGAGCTCCTGTCACTCCCCCTTCAAAGTCAACTCTTAGTGCTTACTACATGCCAGGCACTGCTCTAGGCACTTCACATGGACTATCCTAGGAGTTATATGTTAATTGGCCCTATTTTACAGGTGAGGAAAATGAGAATGGGACAACTTGCCCAAGGCCACAGACCTCCTGTGTGCAGAGCAGGGACCTCAAGCCTAGTGGTCTGACTCCACACCAAGACCGTTGCTCTAGCCCGCTGTACAGTGTGTGTGGGCTTCAGGGACCTCCCCAGACACACACACTCCCCAGCCTTGGGTCTCACTGGCAATACAACCCACAACAAAGCAAGACTTCCCCTCTCTTGAAAGACTCAGATGGGCTCCCACAGAATAACTATAATCATACACGAAAAGAAGAAGTGCCCCCACACTTAAGGAGCCAAAATGAAATGCCACCATTGAGTTATGAAACAGTCTCCTGGTTTTCTGAAACCCAAGACTGTTCAGATCCTTTTCCCTCTTCTGCTGAGTGTTAAGGACTTCAACCTCAGGTGAATGTGGAGGCTTGGTGGCACTTTGCAAACAAAAGCAGGAACTAGAAAGGAAAACCATTCTGTTGCTGGGTCTTAGAGTATATTTCATTCAGAGGGAAAGAAACTCTGGACTTTTTAAATGTTTTTAGGGATTAGTCCTAAATAGAATGCTTACAATCTCAGACAGCCATATAATACTGGGTCCTTTTCACTTATAAAAGTTGTCCCCAGTGCAAATTGAAAATGATAACGGACTGCATGTGCCAACTTCAAATAAACCAAGGTATAAAGCAGCTCCAAAAGGACAATTCATTGAAAGGAAAGCCAACAGGCAATTTGCAAACATCACATGCGCTTGTTTTATAGGCGTATCTCTAGCCACATACAGTATCAAAATGAAACTAAAAGGGAAGGAACTCACTGTACAGAAGACAAAACAATACCCTTTTTATTTTTAAAACTCTGGTGAAATAGGTTTCCATAGGACATCCCATTCTTAAAAAATTTAATGTAAACCAACCTGCCTGTGGGTCAGTCACACGATAGACTTCATCGTAGTGTGTACAGATGCCTAGAGTATTTACAAATGTTATCTGTTAGGTAGTAAAGTTTTGTTGAATTTTTTCCAGCACAAATTCCACAGTAAAATAAAGAGGGGATACTGGTGTTTTTCTATAAAAATTCTTAACAGATGGATAAAGGCAATTTTCCTGAGAGAAGATTTGTTCTTGAAATATTTCTCTTTAACAACTGGAAATATAGAAATGGGATGTAGTTGTAAAAGAAGCATAAGAATGTCTAAGTTAACATTTTTCTTTTAAATTATTTAAGTACCATTAAGTTAAAATGTTTACATTCATTATAAAAAATGTTGTTAAATCTTATGCAAATGATTTAACACTGATTGCTGCAACGCAAATTGCACTTTTTAAAAAAATTATTGTTTACATGGAAGAAAAATATCTTGTTTGCTACCCTGTTTACAAATCCCGACTGACCTCAGGTCAGTCCCACAATGTGAACTTTGAGACATCAGTCACAGTGTACGTTAAGTCATAATGCAGTCTTGCACACGGAGTAATATTTTTGACGAGAAACCTCACGAACTGACTCAGCCTCCAGAGGTGTGTACCAAATGGCCTCAAATGGTCTTCTCCATGAAAGCACGTGAAATTCAGGTGTGGAAAAGGTACGAAGAAATTCTGGAATAACCAAAACCGATCAGAAGAAGCACATGATTTGGGGCAATACACATAAAACCCTTTTTAAAAAAAAATCTCTCAATATTCCTTAGCAGGCAAGGCCCCGGTCCTAGTCCCAGTTTCTGGAAGTGGCACAGAGGACGTCAGATCCCCCGGCACACCCAGAGGCAGGCTGGCTGGAAGTGGCCGTGTCCAGGAGGAGGTGACGTGCTGTGGGCTGCACTGGCCCTTCCCTGGAAGCCCTCCATCTTCTCTCTGGCTCTTCAGAGTCAGGGGCAGGGTGGTAAGGCAGAGCAAGCCTCTTGGGAAATACATCTCTTTCGAAATAAAGGCACGGAAATCACGCGTCAGAGGAATGTTCTGTCAGCATACTCGCCCTGGTCTGGACGGCTTGACAAAATCCCCGCAGCGGGCTCAGGCCAGGGCGAGGGCGCACCAGGAATCCTGTCTCACCGAGGATGTGACTTCGGCCGGAGAGGCCAGGCTGACGCCTATGTACAACCCATCTTGACCTGAGTACTTGAGCTCGCTGTTCTCAGGATTAGTGCTCTCTCCCGTGCCAGACATCACTGAGGTGCCCGCCTGGCGGAAGAGAGGGATAGAGGGGGAAAGAGAAGGGGAGAGACAGTTATCGATCAATCTGTCAGGCGGCACCATCTTGCAAGCTAAGCACATGGAGACAAAGGAGATGGGCAGGGGGGCCCAGGCAAGAGCTGCCCACCATGTTGCATGGTGCCACTGACCTACCCCTGACCACGTAAACTCTTAGAAACATTCTCCTGTGAACTTGAGAACTCACAGCAGTAATTCCTGGCAAGATGCACAGCTGGACAAAGGTAGGAAAAAGGAACTGCGGGAGGCCTATTTGTAAAACGTACCAAACTCTCAGCTCTCTGGCAGTGAAACAAACCACACTGCCTAGGTAAGTAGGTCTTAATGACGCCCACACAATCTAATCATTTCAAAAGAGAAAATGCGGAGCCCCCACCACCACCACCCCCCACCCCGGCACACACACAGCACAGCTACAACCTTAGCAGTTATGCCAAAGTCTAATATGGAAAGCCACACAGCTCAGCGAGGCATGATAAATGAAATTTTTGAGCACTGACTTCATGGAAAATGAACCCACGTGTACACAGGTTTAGTATCTACCGCATTTACCTGAATTCTTTTCAAGGAGAACCGGCCATTTTGAAGGCAGACCACATTATAAAGAAAATGCTAACATCTTATATCTGTCATGGTGGTGGCAATCATTTGTTGAAACAAAAGATCACTCCTCTTGTTTCATTCATTCCTTCCATCCAAATGAGAAAGGCCAAATAGAAAACATGGTATAATTTAGTAGAATCAAACCAAAATAACTAAAATCATGTTTAGACTACAGTTTAAGAAAACAGTTGCATTTGACTTTTTTAAAAAATTCTAAGCATGGGGCACCTGGGTGGCTCAGTCCGTTGAGTGTCTGACTCTTGACTTTGGCTTAGGTCATTTTCTTGGTTTGTGGTATCGAGCACCACATCGGGTTCTGTGCTGAGCATGGAGCCTGCTGGGGATTTTCTCTCTTCCTTCCTCCCTCTCTCTGCCCCTCCCCTCCCAAATAAATAAACACTTAAAAAAAAATCTAGCCATGACTAGCATGGTCCCCAGGTGTGGCTCCTGGGTGTGGCCTGGTGTGGCTCCGAGGACAGGGGTCAGTGACATCAACAACACCCAGAAAGACAGTGCCCCGTCCACACACAGTGCCCCCAGAGGTTGAGAAGCCCCAACATGTCAACACAACATGTCTTCCTGCCTCATCCTTCACCACTCTGAGTTCTAGAACATGCCCCCTCTGGTGTCGGAACTCAGCCCACACACATGCATCAGCCACAACTTAGACCTGCAGAACATTCTGCTGTCCCCTCCTGCCAGGTACAGGAAACACAGCTGTGTTTCCCTTGGGATTTGTATGCATGCTACACTTAGATAAGGACTTACAAGATCTATAAGGACACAAGGGAACACGCAGGGTTCCAGGGGAAAGAACAGGGTACAGTGACAGCTGGCATAGCTTAGAAGTCTGCACGAACCAGCCTTCCTTCCAACTGAATGCTAACCACCCCATCCACAGGGCCCTCATTTCCTTCCAAAGAGAAAAAGACAAGAGGAAAGACCACTACTCTCTCAAGCAAGCCCACACCTTTTTGGAGAAAGAATGTAAGCCACTGTGGCTACAGAGGGGCCACGGGCCAGCATCCCAGTGACAAGATGTGGCACCACCCCACTGAGAAGGGCAGTCACCTCTGTGGTCTTAGGCCTGATAGCCTGGAACTTGGCCTTACTGTCACACAATTGCTGAATGAGGCTCACTGAGAAAGTATCAGAGCCCAGAGCAAGCTCAGAAGAACTGCCTAAGGTGTCAGGTCTGAGAAGGACACCTAGGGGACAGGGCCTTGTGTCAGTTAACGGACCAATGCTGCTTCCACGGTCTGGATGAAAGCATCATGGAAACCCAAGGCTGGCATCTGGGGAAACTGAGCCAAGGGGTAGAGTAGACCTCTGCATGACCTCTGTAACTTACTTAGAAGTGATTTTGTAAACCTAAAATCACTTCAAAGTAAAAAAGTTTATTAAAAAATAAAGATAGAGGCTCCTGGGTGGCTCAGTCGGTTAAGCAGCCGACTTTGGCTCAGGTCATAATCTCACGGCTCATAGGTTCGAGCCCCGCATCGAGCTCCAGCTCAGAGCCTGGAGCCTGCTATAGATTCTGTGTCTCCCTCACTCTCTGCCCCTCCCCTGCTTGCACTCTGCCTCTCTCTGTCTCTCAAAAAGTGAATAAAAACGTTAAAAAAAATAAAAAATAAAGATAAAATAATAAAAAATTAAAATGTAGCCATGATCCCATACTTAAATCATGGCTTTTTCCTTCTAGAAAGCTCTGAAGTTCATTATTTCTTCCTAGCTTTCAGGGTTTAATCCCACAAATCACTGGATATTTGTTTTTTTGACACAGCTAGAATGTTTTGTGCTTTTCAAAACATCCATTTGTCTGGCTGAGCTGATGTTATATCTCCTTCAGAGAAACACGGGGCACCAGACACAGGCTGAACTGAATGAAAGGTATGCTGAGCCCCCTTGGCTCCACTTGGAGGCCTGGAAGTCAGAGTGGTTTTGCTCTTTCTGGAAAAAAAATCTTGTTTTTCTCTCCAATCTTCACAATAACCACATGAGGCTGGGAAGGAGGGTCGGGCCATGGGACTTCCTATCTGCCCATCTCCACTTCCTCCCAAATGGACAGACTAAAGCCAGCCCCTCACAGCTAACCAATCCATCCCTTTCCTGGCAAAAAGGTGGGTTTGTAAAAATGCAGCGACAACAGTACTGCCACACTCAAACTTCTTTTTAAATTAACACAAACTTAGGGGCACCTGGGTAGCTCAGTCGGTTAAGCAACTGACTTTGGCCCAGGTCATGATCTCACAGTTGGTGAGTTCGAGCCCTGCGTTGGGCTCATTGCTGTCAGTGCAAAGCCTGCTTTGGATCTTTTGTCCTCCTCTCTTTGTGCCACCCCCAACTCTTGCGTGCTCAAGCTCTCTCTCAAAAATAAATAAACATTTTTTAAAAATTGATTAATTAATTAACATTTTAACATAAGACTTAAACTAAGGGCTTTGGGTACGTAAGAAAGCAAACCTCACAAAGTCACTGAGATGTCAAAAACTTAGAATTTGAAATAGCTGAAATAATCCTGTCAAACACACCAACAAAACTATGGATTTGGTTACCCATATAAATAGAGTAAAGTAACTTTAGTCATTAATTCCAGAAACTCCACTATGAGCAAACCCATCACAGACCCAGATTTAATCCCCCCCAAAAATAAACAAAAGGGTGATACTCCATTACTCCGCATTTTAGAAAGGAGCTATCATACAACCAACAGAGTGGGCGCACTTATAAGTGATGGGTCACACCCAATTCCATATTGATCTACCTATTCCCAGAAAAAAGCACATGTGCATTTCTCTGACTAAATCTGACTTCACCACAGCAAGCCTTTCTGAAAGAAAGAGGGTACCCACCCGGATCGGCCCAGGAAGCAGCCTGCCTCACATGGCCAGACAGGCTGAGATAGCAGAGGGGTCGTCACCACCACAGGTCAGCAACAAGAAACATTAGCAAGATGTTTATGAGAGCCAGGCACTGGATCTATGAGCCCAAGGAGACAGACGCTCCCTGGGTGAGCTCCCAGGCCACATACATACTTGAAAGTAAGAATGGTCAACTGCCCATCACAGATGATAAATGAGTGGCTGAGACATTGGAAGGGAGCAGTAGGTCAAAAAAGGAACCACAGAGGGGAAAGGATTCCGGGGGTGGGCCACATGCAGCCTGCAACGCTGGGGGCCAATATGGACGGACTTGCAAGCATTACCCTGCTTCAGCCGTCTACTGAGTGAGGTCACCTCTCCGAGCCTCCTCCTGGGGAAACTAGAAACTAGCCCTCACATCACCCATCAAGTAGGGCTGTGACAATTCAACGTTTGCAAAAGCATCAGCATGGCGCCTTGCCATGGTAAGCATCAAGGGAAGCCATTATTACTGGTGAGGAAAGGGTATTCGGAAGGGGAGGCATGCAGGGCACAATCTCAAGCAAAGCCAGCTGAAACGGAAGGATTAAGCAAAAGGGGCAAGGGCACAATGTGGGAGAGGTAACCGAGAAGGCCTCATCTAAAACTCTCTACGCCTCAGGTTCCTCACCTGGAAAATGGAAGCTAAAAAAGACGCATCTGTATCCTGAGGTTATTGCAAGAACTCAATTCATTAAGATACATAAAGCCTTTACAACAGTATCTGACAACAGGAAAATGACAGAAGCAAACAGCACTATTAGTATTATTTTATTATTATTGTTAAGGAGCACAGACCTAATTTAATCTCCCCACCTTTGCCAGGTTGGGGAGACTTACCACCATCACTTGGTGGGAGCAAAGGTGGAACTCATTCAGAGCTAACTGAAAACCACCTCAACAATGACCATCTTTTTTTTTTCAAATGCTTATTTTATTTTTGAGGAAGAACATGAGCCCAGGGGGCAGGTAGGGGGAGACAGAGGATCTGAAGCTGGCTCTGCGCTGACAGCATCTAGCCTAATGCGGGGCTCAAACTCACGAACCATGAGGTCATGACCTGAGCCAAAGTTGGACACTCAACTGACTGAGCCACCCAGGTGCCCCAGCAATGACCTTCTTCTAATTGTTACTGACAACTCTTCAGAGAACAAAACAAAACAAGGTGCTTCTTTAGCCCTTCAAAAGGCTCATGGGCCTTCTTCAAATAAACCACATTAAAGAAATCCTAATACCTTGAACATTATTCTTAACACCTGAGCAATAATCCTAACAGCTACCAACTGAAATACCTATTGTCTTCTTTGATCAGTCAAAAATGACTCCTACGTCAAAGGACAGGCAAATCCCAAATTACATGAGTGATGAGTACCTGAAAAACATCAGCTCATTTGAAATCAAAAGTGACATCTGACTTTCTCAGAAAAAAAAATGTGCTTGTGCCCAACAACTGAGACCCTTATTTGT